TTATAGGAGCTGTATTGACTGAAGTTGATAAGGACACAGGTTAAACTAGATTCGTTCATTATACATCGAAGAAACTAAATGAAATACAACAGAGATGGAGAACTGTTGAAAAAGAATTATTTGCTATAGTAGTAGCATGCGAAACATTCGATTATTATATTAAAGGAACTAAGACATTAATTAAAACAAATTTTAAAGGTATTATTGGAATGATGATTTATTAATTGGGTGTTCGGTGACTTTGCTAGAGTACTAAACAAACAAATTAATAAAGAGCATGTAGAGTTTCCTCTACGATTTTTTATGTATTTATATATATTTTTAAATGGTTTGAACAAGTGATTCTTAATTATGTGTTCTACATCGTTCAGCATTCTTTAATTTCAATAGGCATTTATTTACTTTAATGGACATCTTTGTTTTTATTAAAAATTTATATCCTTATTGAACATTGATTATTAATTAATTATATATTAATTATTTCTTTGTTATGATTTACGTCCATCAATTTAAATATAATGCTGTTAAATTTCACATAGCTAGTCCTTTTTATTACCAAAAAGGTTAATAAAGCCTTTTATTTACCAAATATAAATTAGTCATGCAAGCATTGGATAAAAAAAAAAAAAAAAAATTAGTTATTTCTTTTGTTTTTTTTTTTGTAAATTCTAAAACACATAAAAGAAATATATTTATTTTTTTTTTAAAAAGGTTGTATTGTTGAAAAATTAAAAAAAGAATAGTTGCTAACTAAAAAGTTTCCTGTAGTATATTTTGTTTAAATTTATATAAGAAAATTTTATATTAATAATAATAAAGTTTTCATATTTCATAGTATTTATATAATTCAATTTGTATTCTATTGATTGCTTATGCTTGTTTATTTGAAGGCAGTGAATTTGAATTGTTAATGATTACTCATAATATTATAAATAAAATATATGTAATCAAAATAAATAATGATGATTTAAGTTTTTAATGAAAATATAGGACTTTTATTAAAAGATATAGATTCTTCTGGAAAGAAATAAATACTGAACTAATTAGACAACACAAATACAATTTACTGGTTTACAGTATTAAAAAAAAATTTAAGTTAATTATATTAGTATAGACAAATCGACACGCTCTATATTAATCTATTTGTTCAACACTAAAAAAATCATTGAATAAGCAATTAATAAATTAATAAATTACTAACATAAATGTATAATATATTTTAATTTATTTGTGTAAGAAAAAAGAAAGAATATATATAATTAAAATAAAGAACCATAAAAGCTAACATATATGTTGAAGAATATTCTACAATAAAAAGTAAAAATGATAAATATAATATTTAATTTTAAATACAAAAATATAAATATATAGATATAAATGTAACACAATTATAAAGGATTTTCATATTAAAGGAATGCATGCATTCATTATACAATGTATTACATAAAACATATATCTCAAGATATATTTATTTTTATATAAAGCTACTAAAGCTTCTTTTTATAATTTTCTAACTGAAAGGGTAATGATTATACATATATTTGTTTCGTTTTATTAAAGAATAAAGAAAAAATATTGATATATTTTTAAGATTCAGTAGCAGAATGTAGATAGAAGTAAATATAATAATAAAAGTTGTGAGAAATTTTTTATTATCTTAGTTTCATGTCTTATAAGTAGAATAACAAATGAATGAAAATAAAATTGATGAAAAGTAAAAATTTTCATAAAAATAATATATAACAAATTGTTTTTTATTATATTTGTAGATTTATAGATATAATAATATTAAAGATGATATAAACATAAAAAATTAATTTATTTCATATTACTATTATTAGAAAGGTTAAAAATTGC